TGTCATTCCAAACATTTATCATTGACATTCAATGGCCCCCAAATATAAAGGTAATTAACATGGTACTAAATCAAATTATGAAGTGGAATGACAAATTTGTCCTTCAATATAAAGCACACCAGATGGGGAAATTTGATTGAGACTGGTATGGCAATCCCTACCATGTATGTATAATGGGCGTTGAATGTGACAATTGTGATAGAAGGGCTAGCTTTGGAATTGTAGGGCCCTTCCAAATTCAGAATGCTGTCCCGGACATGAACAAAGTTTACTCTTTTTGGGTGTGACTTTTAGAGCATTGAAACCCCATCCCCTGTGACCACTAGGTCTACACAGCCCTATGGTATGGACCTATCTTTATTTCGTTGAGATTAATGTTAGCCATGGGTTCCAATTTGATTGACATCAATCACTTTTATACAAATAATAATCTTTTTCTTTCACCGCCCTACATATAAGGGTCAATAGCCTCCCCACCAATTTAATTTTTTTTTTTGCTTCTAGATATATTCAAAAGTTGAAATATTTTTCACACTTGTAACTCGTCTCAGTGTGACTGATCATCCTCTAGGACGGATCATCCTTTAGGACTGGCAACTAATCATCACATTGGTTCATCAATAGGGACGGACCTCGCGATATACTTCTAAAATATTGGTAATGCTCTCCCTAAAATTATTATAAAATTTTAGTTTTGCCTCTCTTACCTAAAATTCTAGGTCCGCCCTTGTTCATTAACTAGCTAATCAGTCGCGAGCCGCTCCTCGGGCAGATTCCTCTTTTTGCTCCTCAACTTACAGGGTAGTAGCAGCTGCTTCTAGTTGTTGTTTCCCTCCCAAGGGCAGATTTTTATGCATAGTTCTATAATAGTATACTAAGGTTGATGATACGTATATTAATTCTAAAATCCTTGGGATCTTATAGATGTAGCATAGATTTTGGGTGAGTGATGAAGCTGAAGTGAAAGTTATGAATATTCACAAAGAACAACGCATAACTTTGAATCTACCAAAATTGAAAGAAAATTGCAAAGAAATCCACCGGCAAAGAAACTACTCAAAATTAAGCTTTTTCAAAAAATTATGAGGAAATATAATAACTAAAAACTATTGAACCAAAAACAAAAGGGATTCAAATATGTTTAGACGTTTAAAAAAAATTCTAAAAATATTGAAAATGTAAAATACAAGTTCAGAACCCTAAACAATGGAATTTGGTTGAAAAGTAGCGCATATTAGTTGTGAAGTTGATGAGTACGTTTTGCGAGTTAGATTATTTTCTAATCAAAATAAGGTCTTGTCAGGTCAAAATGGACCAGTCCAAACTACTCTAAAATTGTGTCAATCCTTTCGTTTAACCTTTAGGCAGTCCAAACAGGTTCCAAAGTCATCAATAAATATTTTTATTTTATTTTATTTTATTTTAATTTTTTTAATTTTTATTTTTTTGCAACAAAGAGGAGATGAATTATGGTGGATGGGAACTAAAAGTCACCATCATCACCAAACATTGGGAAATTAGGGAAAGTATAAAGTGAGGTTTGTTAATTAACCAAGTGAACAATAATTAGATGATCTTAAGAAGTCCATGCAATTTATAAGCATAAATATGTGGCAGCAAGCAAAGATCCTGAGAATGTGAAGAACATCATAGAGAGAGGTTTTGAATAATTGCAAAGAAAAGAGAAAAGGGCCCTCGCAAGTGAGAGAAAAGGGTATTCTTTTGAGGTGGGAATAAAATGAATAACTGTATGAAAGGATTAGACTCTGAGGAAGAATATATTACTTAAGTGAGTTGCTTTATTTTGCCCAAACCAAGTTGGGTATCATCTGCAATACACTTTGCCTCCAACACTCAAAAATTGCAGCCTTAAAAAGCCCATTGATTGGTTGGTATTGGTTGATGGAGCTAGTGGGTGGGTCACCACCCATAATACATACTACTATATATATATAGGTAGAGAGAGAAAGCTATAGATTTTAGAGAGAGAAACTGTGTTCTCCTATCTAATGGAGTTCGGTGTAAAAAGAAGTAGATGAAATCCAGCTCATTGGTACTCAAACAATGCCACGACCGCACGTGGAGAGGACTGCCAGATCACGGACTACAGTATCCTTCATAAAACTAGAGGTCCCTTTAGCTGTCTCCTCGTCCCTAATGCTGGCATCAAGCTGGAAAATGCCCTCTCTCTCTCACTCTATATCTATCTATCTATATATATACTCCGTAATATATAAATATATGTATACAAAGTTACAAACACATTACATTATGCTTGTGTAGTGTGTGTTCTTGTGGTCTCACAAAAAAAAAAAAAAAAAAAAAAATTTGCTTTATTACAACTAATATTTGGTGCAGTGATATAAATTAACATGATAATGAAATAACAATTGTTTAATTAATATCAATCAATTTGTAAAAAATTTACACAACATTTTTTTTTCTTTCTTTATTCTCATTATCAGTCTCGGACTCTTAATCTTCACTTGAGTTCAAGAGTTGAAAATTTGACATAATTTTCATTTTATATTAAGTCTAACAAGACAATCTCTTGTAACACTTTTATTTAGGCTATGTTTGGTAAGGCGGAAAAGAATAAAAGGGAAGGAGAGGATAATGTTTAGTATTAATTGTGTTTGGTTGATTAATGAAAAAAAAGAAAGAAATGATAATTATCAAATAAATGAAATAAAATTATTTTAATAAATTTTACAACTATACCATTTTTTATGAATTTTGTTTTTTATAAAAATAAAGACACTTTTGATATTAACAAAAAATTAATAAAAATACTTGCATATCCTTAATTTCATTTCGTCCATTTTTAGGATATAACAAAAGTTGTGTTCATGTTTTAATTTCATTTCGTCCATTGATATCCTTGTTCATGTTTCATTTTTAGGAGAAAACAAAAGTTGTGTTCATCTTTCATTTTTCTTTATTTTCTTTCGAATATCTTATACCAAATACAATTTCTCATCTCCTGATCTCCCTCTATTATCATTCTTTTCTTTTCCTTCTATTTCTATTATACCAAACTGGCCCTTAAGATTACATCGAAGCCTTTCAAGGTTTTTATTTTATTATTTTATTTTTAAATTAATTATATGATACCTTAAAATATTGTCAGCTTTACAACAGTGAAATAACAAAGCTGTACTTCCAAAGGATGTTTGGAAGAGTCGTTCAAAGTCATTGTGCGAGCTCTAATGGAGTGTGTGGACAACATAATGGTCTTCCATTTACATAAATTAATACTAGATTAGCTTTAACATGCTTGACCAAGAATTTATTTGATGAAACAAGACTACGTACAGTTTGGTTTTATTATCAGCCGCCCATCGTATGATCTGATGCAAATTACATTTATTAATTTAAAAATTAAAGAAGATTAAATTAATTGATCACACTTTTCATAAAATTAAATAATAATAAGCAATCACAACTGTTCTATAACTTTATTTTATTTTTCTTGGGAAGTTGGTTTATAACAGCTTATGATTGGAAGGATAGGAACGTGGGGTCATGTGGAATGTTTGATTAGGGTTTAGAAAATATTAAGTTGGTATATATATATATATATATACACTACATATATATATACTAATATACATATATAGCATACACGTCCCAACAAATAAAAAAGGGTATACACATAAGACTATCTGATCTAAATTAGCTGTTCTTTTCATCTACAAAATTTATATACCTAAGTCTCACCAATTGAGGAACTAATCTAGGTGAACCAAAAATGTCTATCTCAAAACAAAATGAAAAATGATTTTTAGATCGAACTTATACCTTGATGCTTTTGGTTCAAGGATTGACGGCTTCGGCTAGAATAGCAGTGTAACCGAATACTACATAAGAATGTAATAGGGTCCACACGTCCACTAAGAATTCGGCTTATTAATCATTTTCCTTAATGTATATCGTTCACTAAACAATTATATACATGATTGCATATTGGGGTTGCAAGTGGCGACCTTGTGATGATCAGGGGTCCATAACAATCTTTATGCAGAGACCACAATGGATACAGACGTGGGGGATAGATATAATATATATAAATACCTAAGTTGTACACACATGGGATGGACCCCAACCCATGGACCCAACCCTTCCATCTATGAGCCAGGATTTTAAGTTAGGACTTAGTTGGGGCGTTGGTGCAAAATATATATAACATAATAAATATAAAATGCAAAAGAAGAAGAAGAAGAAGAAAATTATTCAAATATGCACGTACAAGAATTTTAAGAAGTAGAAGTAGAAATAGGAAAGAAAAAGGAAAGAAAAAAGAAAGAAAATTGAGAGAACTTTAAATGGAAAAAGTTAAGAGATTCAATCAAGTAAGGAAAATTTAACTCTTTTTTTTTTAAGAAAATTTTAAGGAATTTGAAGAATAAAAGAGAAAAATAAAGAGATAATTTTAGAAACTAGAAAATTTAGGGGGTACTGTATATATATATATATTTTTTTTCATATATATAGAAAAATTTTAAAAAATTAATATATATTTTAGAGGGTGGGGCCAGGCCTTGGGGGCACGTGCCTCCTGGCTTTCATTGGCTCGGTTCCTATGTGAGTTGATATGGTTGTACTGTATCGAACTGATCCCAACATTTGCGCTCGTGAGTGTAGATCCCAATACATGTGAGTTATAAGGAAGTGTTGTACCGCTTTCGACGGACCTTAATACTTGTGAACACTTATACATATTTACGCAAATATCTCAATACTTGCACTTGTGAGCACTTATACGTGTCTAAGCTGATATGTTGTACCTGTTGTATGGTATTGGAATGATCTCAGTACTTACAGCTTTATTGCTTCTACGCGTGTGAGTTGAAATTCGTCCAATGGAGATAATGCGCACTAATCCACTTATATATTATATATGTTTTGGGAGAAAAAAAAATGAAATTAAGGAACAAATATAAAATAACATATAGTAGTTGAAAAGAGGATGAAAAAGTATGTATGTGGAAAAGATGATATAGATATATAGATTGTATATTTTAAGGTTTTAAAGACTAAGTAGTACACATGAGTGCTGAGGCCAAAGGCATAAGAAAACATGGAGAAGAGAACACATAGACAACCAGAGAAGAGATGGATTGATTGGAGGGTGGGAGGGTTTATTAATGCAGAGACAGGGAGGACAGACTCGAGTGCCCCCTCACGCAGCTGTCATTCGATATAACAAAGCCACACACACCCACCCACCCCCTCTTCTCTCTATTTCTCATCTCATCAAGACAGCAAATTAGAGTTTGGACCTGTCGGAACCAACACCTCTCTCTCTCTCTCTCTCTCTCTCTCTCTTTAGCTCTAACTCTCTCTCTCTCTCTCTCTCTCTGAAACAATACCCTTTATTTATTTATTTTTTTCCCTTCTCTTGGTCAAATATTAGAACAACAACAACAACTGCTGAACATATATCACTCAACTCTCTCTCTCTCTATATCTCTTTCAAGAGAGAGAAACATTTACATGAGAAGGAACAAGTACTCCTCCCTCCAATATTGATTTTGTCTAACTTAGATATATAGAAGAGTGGTGGTTTATGAAGAATTTTATGCATAACCCACATCCCATTTTGATGAATTAGAGTCGATAGATGCCATGACATCTCAGCATTATCGATCACCGTTCGGCGACACCACGTTTACCAAAGTGTTCGTCGGAGGACTTGCTTGGGAGACACCCACCGATGTAATGCGCCGGTATTTTGAGCAGTTCGGAGACATTCTTGAAGCTGTTATCATCACCGATAAGAACACCGGAAAGTCCAAAGGATATGGATTTGTAAGTACTTACATATATATATATATGATCAAGGTTTAATTTTGTACATGTTATTAATATTTTTTTCTGAAAAAAAATAAAATTAAATAGGTGACTTTTCGTGATCCTGAATCTGCAAGAAGGGCATGTAGTGATCCAAACCCTGTGATTGATGGAAGAAGAGCAAATTGTAATATTGCTTCATTTGGAAGGCCTAGACCGTCACCGCCTCGAGGTCCATATATATAATTATATATACACACATATATATATCATAGGATAGTGATTGATTAGGATGGGCATTAATGATGATTATTATTATGTGGATGTGTTTTTGTGATTAATGTAGGTAGAAATCAAGGTGGTAATCCTTATCATGGAGGTGGAGCAGCAGCACAGGGGGGTAGTGCATCATCGTCATCAACATCACCATATAGTGGGGTCCAACCACCGTTGCCTCCTCTCCCACCACCGCCGCCACCACCACCTGCACCTCCAGTCATTTATCCACCTTATGGGTGAGTGCATTTTCCATATAGTAAGGGTAAATAATGGTCCATGGTACCACTGATAGTGATGAATTGTTTGTGCTTATATATGATTATGTGGCAGAAAAAAAGGCTTTGATATAGTATTGTCTTTTCTTTATTACTTTGTGTGTGTATATATATATATATATATATATTTGTTTTCAATGTACAATTAGTATTGGTGGGTCAATGAAATATGAGTTGGCAATTGGAAGGATGTGCAATGCATTTGCGACACGTCTAAGCTTACATGTGCATAACATTATAGAATGCCAACAGATGATTGTTGGTACATTATTGATATTAGAGGTCCAAACATTAATCACATGTAATTGGAAATTAAATGGGTGGTTTCATTCTAATAATTAGGAAATATCTTCCCTTCCACAAAAACTCTTTTAATTCAATTTTTTACGATTTTGACGTTTGATGGTAAAAGAGAGACTTTATACATATATATATTAATATATATATATATATATATATATATATATATATATATATTCGTATATATACACATTGCAGGCTTACAAAGATTTTGTGATGTTGAACTATTCTAGGGGCATTGAGATAAATTAATATACTCATCTTTCATTGACTAGAAAGTTGTGACCATGTTTATGATTTCAATGGATACAGGGGGCCTTAAACACTACAAGATGAATATAAAATATAAGATACCAAAGCATATATACTAACATATAATGTGTATGTATATGTCTGTTTTGCTGTTGGTATTGACACAATGTACAATGGTGTTTTCATTCTTTGTTAAGTGTCCATTTTTTGCCGGCTACGTGGACATGCATATGTTTTCTTATTTTTTATGAAACAAATATAAATATATATATATATATATGTGTGTGTGTGCCTAGACAGCTGACATAGTATATAATAACATTGAAAATTTCAATCACATTGTGTTTGTGATTTCACTGTCACAACTAAGATCTAAATTGAACTCTATTTTGTCTGCGTTCGTAAGTCTGCATTTATTTACTTTGCTTATAGTTATACAGTATCTGATAAGATATATTATTACTATATTCTCTGTATTTAATTCCAGAACCCACCATAACTAACAATGTGGTTGGTGTCAGTTGCTTTAGATGTAGGACACAGAGATCGGGTCATATTGAGTACGTTTATAATATTGTTACACATCAATTTGACTTAAAAGTGCTATCCTCACCAATTTATTTTCACGCGCAGAAAATTCATGTAACATAGTAAAATTATATCATTATTCTACCTCATTACAAATTTACATTACATTTTTTACTAAACAATTTTAATGGATTTCACTTGTTTTTTTTTGGCAAATATTAATGGATTTTACTTTTGCAGGTACGCAACCTACCCACCTGAATATGGTTACCAACAAGTTAGTCTCCTCTCACTCTCTCTCTCTCTCCCTCCCTCCCTCTCTCCACACACACACACACACACACACACACACGTATATATAATGATATTAATTATTTTGTAATGGGCATGCAGGCCATATATAGTCCACAATTTCAGCAAGCACAGTACTATCATCAATTGTATGGAACATCATCTTCAAGTAGCATAGGGTCTCCATATTATTATGGATATCCCATGCAAGCTTCAAGGGGAACATATCCTGCAACCCAGGCGCAGAGATTCCAAGGACCCTCTTATCTTTACTATCCTACGCCTACGCAGATGGAGGCGGCCTCATTCTCCACCTTTCCTCCTCCTTCTCTACCTTTACAACCAACAACAAGGCATCCCTTTCCTTCTTCAACTGGTATATAATTTAACTTTCTTTTCCATTCCTTGTATAGTTTGACAATTCTCTCTCATGCATGCATTATAAAAATAAAATAACCAAATTATATATTATAAATGTGTGTGTCTATAATGTAATGCATGCATCATGTATGCATGTCAATTACATTGGGTTGATGTTAGTTACCACTGCTTTTACTCATTATACATGAGGAACATGCATCATGGGGTATCTCGTGACCAAAAACTACCTAGGGTTAGTCTGGCGTAGGATACTTTTGTCAGGTAAGATTTCTGAGGAGGGTCAGATGGACACCATCTTAGTTCTATATGTGGAGATGTTTCCTGTTTTGAGTCCTTTGGATCACAATGAACCAACGTTAGTGTATGTTGTGCCCATTTCGCCTGGATCTATGGCACTAAAAAAAAAAAAAAAAAAAAAAAAAATTCCTTAATCTTAACCATTTATAGATTTATAGAGCTAGCTTCATCCACTTTTTTAAGAATACTTTTCTGTTTTTAGATAATATAACATAAAACAGTTTGAAAATTCCTTTGGTTAATAGTTTTTAAAAAACCGCCCTTAAAAAAAATAAAAAATCTGAGACCTATAATTTAGTTTTTACTTACAAATTAATTCGGAAAATTGAATAAAACAAGGCTTTGAAGTGATGGATAATAAAAACCAACATACATGGATACGGAAAGCAGTTATTACAACAGAAATCAGAGACCTATAATTTACTTTGTGGACAATAAGGACAATAAATATCTGAACGAAGATTTGCATATTTCAACATATCCCGCAACTTGTTTCTACAGATCCCAGCATGCAATTACTTTTGAGAAAACAACCAGATAAACAGATAATTGGCAATTAATGGTCCTCTCAACTGAGTTAGTTCTGTCACACACACACACACACACACACACACACACAATGGTGCAACCATATATGACAGGGGGATGCACTGCTGCAACCCACCTAGGGCTTGGCATGATATAAGGCTGTCACTATGTCTTGCACCGCATGGTGCTGACAAGGGGTCACATGGCTACCATGTGACATACATGATCTGTCCAAATTATGCTGTGACCCATCATGGGTCAATGGAAAGTCATGCCAGAGAGGCAGACAGTAAAACTAATTACCACTGCATGTGAATTCAACAGTTTGATATATGTTTTGATCATGAGTGGTTCTGAAGTTGCAGTGATCAATTGGTCCTATGCACAAATTAGATATATACACACATATACACACACTATATATATAGGATGGCCTTACTATTGCTCTCCTGTCCTGTTGTCCTGTGACTTGAAAGTCACAAGTTTGGAACTGTATACCGTTTTTGGAAACTAAGATTACTTACATTTAACTTGTATAGTCTAATTATATATATATAATCGAATATTTGTACACAATGTGCATATGCATGTGTTATTTACTTACAATTTATGTACATGAGCTAATCGATGTTAATCTTGATTTATGTGATTGTTAATCTCAGATTCACAGACTCCACAGAATACCTCAACAGAAACAGAAGTTGGCGCCATTACTTCAGAAAGTCCCAACGCATAAGAGAGAAGCTCATCAAATTACATATGCCTGCATGGCTTGGCCAACAAGTGTTCGTTGTACAACCTTTGACAAACTAATATTCTTAATTCATCTATTCCTATTTATTTCTTCAATTATTCATCTAAAAATTTTTTTTTGGATCCAAATTCTGATCAACAGCTATGGCAGGTAAAGATGGACTATTGATCAACCACCTTTTGCAAAACTTTATCTTCCTCAAATAAAAAATTCTCGCATTATTTATTGTATTTCTTCTTTTCATTTTCGTCCGGCTTACATATGTTCAAATATAACAGCTTAACAATTTTTTTTTTTTTTCTTCTTTTTTTTAATGATTGTATGAACAAAATTACGGAGCTGTGTTCCCTCGATAAAGAGTTTTGAATCTTTTGATAAATTATGTAGGTTCCACATAAGATTTCCCCTCTTTTATTGGGAAACAGAAATGAAAAATAAATAAATATTATGTGAATTTCTTTGTCAATTATTTTTTATTTTTTAACATTCTTTGAGTGGTTTTAAATTTTTTTCGGGAAATTTTGAGTGGTTTTAATTTCGGAATTAGATATAGATAGATCATTTACACATGAATCATTTGTCAAAAGAATATTGATAAGTATTTCGAAAGTTGGATGTATTTGAGTGATTTATGTGAGTGGAAAATGACATCATCATAACACCATTAAATAGGATGATGCCATCATTACATTATCCCCTATTCACATAAATTTCGTCGGATGAGTTCGACTGTTCCTTATTATTACTCTTATCAAAATCATACACGGAATAATCTTTGAGTGGTGGTTTATATAAGATATACATGGATCATTTATCAAAAAAACAGTGCTACATGTCATGATAAAATTTTCATGGCATTATCACCAAACTGCATGTTTATGGTAAATATGCATTTTTAGTTTTTTTATTATCTTATTTTCCTTATATTTTCCCTAAGTTCTTTCTTTAGCTATACACACACACACACACACACACAAGTATATAACATATATGAGTTCTATTTTTCGAGGCTTTATCTACATCTTTTCAATCCCATTTTAGATTGAATAACAAACTACACACTCATGTTGTAAACATGTAATAGACTCTGTAAAAAAAAAAAAATAATATCAAAACTAGTTTAGAGTTTATTATGAATTTGTTTTGAATTTTTAGTCCATCCAACCTTGCAACTATATATATATATTTGTAAATATAAAAGACTTAACCCTAAATTGAGAGATGAACAAGACACACAACTAATCCTAGATTGAGGGATGGACCAGACAAAATAATTTACAAGATTGGTTTTTTTGGGGAGACATCTTTATTTTATTTTATTTATTTATTTATTTTTTTTCACCCATTAATTCTTCCCAAAAATAAATAATCACTTTCTTATTATTTGACTAGTTCTTTCCAAAAATAAAAATTCAGGTCAATTGTGATAAGATCACCAAATTCTTTTTGTGATCTTTAGCATTTTCCTTGTAATATAGGAAACTGCTATATTTCACGAATCTAAATTTCCTGATATTAACTCGAACACATATGACGAATATCATGAAAGATTTTTCATGATGTTTATTATAAAAACGTAGCACCAGCTCTGTTTGCCACCTTTTTCCTTATTCTTTTATTCTTTTTATTTTTTTTTTTTTTTTATTAACCCCGGATGTTCGGGATGGCACGAACTCTTAGGGCCCCTCAACAACCTGACTAATTTTTGAGGACCCGGGAGGGCGCCTCCCTACCTGGGCCCGGTAAGTCATTGCAGAGGCAGTGGAGGTTAGCCACAAAGGACACCTAGCGGGACTCGAACCCCAGATCTTGAACTTGCTAAGCTCCAAAGTTTAGCGAGTAAACTGTTGGGCCATATCCGAAGTGGATTTCTTTGAAACAATGTTGAAGAGTGAGAGTAGATAGAGATTTATTTAGAAAGCATTTCCCTCTCTATCTTTGGGAGAAAGAGGATATGATACTATATTAAGAGTCTAAATTTGAAGAGCGGTTTTTAATAAAAGAAATGATTATTCCTCCATGAACGTAACCATGTTTTTTCCTCTTTTTTTAACTTACAACCTTTCAAAAAAATAAAAAAACCTTGTTTACTTACCAATAATAATAATAATAATAATAATAATCAGGCTTATAAATTTTTTGGATTAGCAGTGTGTTGAAAGAACATTTTGTGTAAAATATATACAATGTGTGAAATTTTTTTATCTCCAGAAGTTGTGTGTGTGTGTGTGTGTGTGTATATATATATATTGTGTAAATCTAATGTGTCATAGTAGATTTACACAAAAAAAAATTGGACTACTTATTTTTAGTTCCAACCAATTTTTTTTTTAATACCTTTTGTGTAAAAATATATTCCCCAATAACAACTAACCACGTGTCATGACTAAGACCATACATAACTTTTACAAACCTACTTGATTCACTTTACTTTTTGGTGAGGTTTCCCCTCAATTAGGGAAAAAAAAAAAAAAATTCGTTCTAAATTTCACTTTCTCTTCCCGCCACCCCTAGGATTCTAACTTAATAACTAAAAATAAAATAAGCTTCAACTTTGGTAGAAACTATGGCAACTCTGAGAACATGCAGTTTTCTGTTTACAAAAAACTGAAAATAGAAAATTATACAAAATTTTTTGCTTGGTTCAATTTTCGGAAAACTGTTTTTTGAAAACTCAGTTATAAAAAGACTTGTTTTCAAAGAACTGTCTTTTATTATTCTCTGAAAACTGTTTTCTGTTCTTTGAATTCTTAAGAATTGTTTTTAGAGTTACTAATCAAACATGCCCTAAATAATTAAGGGTATTAAATGTGCTCTGTCTTGGCTTCTGAAACGTCGAACCAATTTCTAAGATTTCTATTTTATTTAAATTTGTTTTTGTTTTTTTTTTTTTAGTTTCTTATAGACACCATCACTACTTTGTATGGCTTGGGATCATTCGGAAGACTAGAATAGTTATGGAATGCTTGCATCGTTTTTGCAGAGAATGCATTAACAAATCTACGCGTTTAGGGTCTATAATCTTCCTCTGGTTCAAATTGATCTGTGACCTTAAATGTAGGAATAATAGGTGTCTTGTTTGTCGCACCCATTGTGTTAATCGGCGTTCTTTGAGAGATGATCCAATAAGTTTTTGATATTCCTCTACATCCTTGTCTACCATGTCTTTCATGTTCTAGTTTTAAATTCCTTATCTACCATGTCTTCAACTTTTAGTTTTGAATTGTGGCCTGATGATGATGACGATTTTAATGATTTCGATGACAATTTTGAAAATAGTTCCATCGATTATTATGGGGATATTGTTGGTTTGAGATGTCTACGAAACATCACGAAGATGACAACACCATTTATGCTTATGCTTCTCGAGGAAGAACAAAATAATTTTTGAAAACGCCTTCATGGAAGATCTGTATCGGGGAGGAGAATCTATAGCTGCCAGAGGGAGGTCGTTCATGATCAAATATAGACATACTATTTTGCAGACAATGAAAAATACCAATTGTATTATTTTCGTCGTAGATTTCGGATGAGTTGATCTCTATCTTCACATCCTTCACAATATTGAAAGATACGACCCATACTTCAAGCAACATTGTGATGCTACTCAAAGGAAGGGATTGTCATATTTACAGAAAATGACATCAACAATTAAAATGCTTGCAACAGGTTGCTTAGCGATAACCTTGATGATGTACTACATTCAAATTGGAGAGAGCATGGCAATTGAGAGTTTGAAGCATTTTTGTGATGCAATCATTGGTCTATAAGAAGATTAGTACACGAGAAGGCCCAAGAAAAACAACATAACATGCTTCTTTGCACAAGGGTAGACACAAGGCTTTCCAGTGATGATTGGTAGTTTAGATTACATGCATTGGATTTGGAAAAATTGTCCAATTGCTTGGCATTGAACACGTACATACTGGAGTACCACACAAAGACCCTACCTTAATTTGTTTCTTAGACTGTGCAAGTTATTGCATTGATGCTTCAAACTTTACCATGAATTCTTTCACTAGTGTGGATGATCCATCAATGGTCATTCCTTTTCTCTTTTTATCCTTCGATTTTTTTCTTCCCATCTTTGGCCTTTGAACTCTATCTTCATCTGTGCCTGGAGTTAAATCTTCACCATACGAATCTAGTTGAATTGAAGAACCCGGTGTGATTAGAGTAGATGACGATGAAGTATTATCAATGTCATGTAAGGATCTATCAAATCTTGGGGGAGTAGGCACTTCCATACTTTTCTTTCTCTAATTACTATATTTTTCATTCCACTTAGGATTGTCTCTCAAGATCTTAATTCCACACCTCTTCTAGCGTGAAATCAATTCCTTCACAATAACGGAATGTCATTTTTGCATCTTTAACCTATATAATATTAATAATTAATGAACATATGAATTAAATAAATTAAACCATTAAAAATTAAAATAAATTAATATATTAAATTAATGAAATAATTTACTTAAAAAATTTGTGCCGCTTATTGGATTGCGATCAATGGTAGCAAAATATTCATTGTTCACTTAATGTTATGTAATATGCCAATGACATGACAACGAATTTGGATTTCTATCAAACTCTCCGGCTAGAGTTTTGATGCACATAAGTTTGTTGAATGTGTTGTAAATTTGATTCCATAAATTATTTCTAGATTAGCTATTTCTAATAATTCAATCTATTGATACCGTTACCCAAGCTTTTACAAGTGCCATGTCTTCTGTACACAATTTTGGGCACTTTTTGCTTTACCGGACCAGGGACTTCCCAAGGGTCCCCTATTCTGGTACTACTCCATGTTAAGCACGCTTAACTTTAGAGTTTTGATAAGTTCACGGCCATTACGGCTTTAAAACCCATTGTGTTATAGAAGGGTGTTGATGTGCACTCAGTGATGCAACAAAATAGATGTGTAAAAATGGCAATCGAGGAACATCAACTTTTAAATTTATAAAAACCATTACACAACTATATGTGAGTATAATGAGTAGGGATCGTCCGCTGGGATTATAGCCTTGGATTGAACTTAGTATTAATGAGTGTGAGATTGAAAATATGATGATTGATTGATTAAACTAGTATTGAAATTTGATAATATATAAATTACAAATGAGATTATATGAAGAGAGATTGGAGTAATGTGATGGTGAGGTGAGAGGAACTTAGGGCATGGATTTCACCGCTAAACTCATGGAATTGCATCAAATGCCTTCAATCAATGGGAAAAAAAAAAAGTTGTGGTGAAAATGTGGCTACAAGCACACATCAATGATCAAATAGTTTCTACAATTGCAATGAACAAGCATGAATTATCAAATTCAAGCATGAATTGTCTACTTAACTATCATTAATCTAAGAAGTAGAACAACC